CCCCCCCCCCCCCCCCTTCCTACGCCTCTGTCGGGAGAAGTGAAGAGGAGTGGCTAGCTCCTGCGATCTCTTTTTTCATTAGACGCAACCGGTCGCACAAGATGCCCCCATCATTATGGCTGACCTGCAGGGGGAGCCACCGAACACTTCTGAGTAGTTCCGATTCGTTCCGAATGCCGATAAAGAGGATGAGTTGGCGGAAAATTCAAAATACAACGAAGGAATTGCAATTTTAATTTTAATTCTTTTATTTTTATTTGTTTACTTATTAAATTTTTTTTCTCAGTACTTGAAAAAATTCCAGACTTTTGGAGCAAATTCCCTGACTTTTTCATGTTTTCCAGGCCATTTTTTCCCCCTGACTTTTCCAGGTTTTCCAGATCGCTGGGAACCCTGAATTTATGCCGTGAGCCCTGTAATGCGCATACACTTATGGGTCTCAGGACTCATGTCTTAATGCACATAGTTCCGTTTGGTAGAAATACGTTCATTTGTCATTCCCTGGCGAATCCTACTTTTTCCCTGTCTTAGGCAGCGGACCGCAGTCTTCAATAATCGGCCGTTTCAATCAATAGGATCGCTATATTTTTTCTTAGTCTTCTTTATATTTAACTTTGTCGATCAATAGCGATGATCAGGCCATTGCCGGTCATATTTCTATAAAAAATCGAATTCCTTGATCAATTTTCCAACCTTGAAACGAGCTTACGTCCCTCCATCAAAGGATCGACGAATCAAGACATTATCACGCATCAAATCGTCGCTCCTCCGACGAAAAGACACATTTCAATTTCCACGTGAGCTTCATTTTCCATACAAATCCATGCTTCCAAGACTCATGCGGAAATTGTTATACGCCCATACGCCAAAGGAGCGACGAAATGACGGTCGACGTCTATGACGATCTGGCAAGGCGGGAGCCCAGGATGCTGTGTACGAGATGAGGATGAGATGAATGGCTATAGGTGAAAGCATCTCTTCATCGAGGTAGTCATGGCATCGTGCATTCGAGGATTCGTGTCGGTGCAATTATTGCCCTTTCGGGGAAATGCATCCTGATCATCTTGATTGAGACGCATCGGATGTTCGGGTCCGAGAGGATTTCACAAAGCACAATCCAGGCAACATGACAATAGGACATTGAATCCAAGTCCTAGTGTCTAATTCTGTCGTGCTAAGGGAGAACGTCGTAAGAGCCTTCAGACGCTGCCAAGTTTCTTCTGATAAAAACCGGATTGTGTCAGTTCTGCCGTAATAAGGAAAAACGCCGTATGAACATTCGAGAGTTGTCAAAATTTCCTCTCAGAAAATAGTTATTTTTGAAGAAAGGTATGAATCTATCTCCTTGAAATTTTCAGGAACCGCAGGTGGAGTTGAGAACAAAATAATCGGAAAAATCGGAAGGAAAATCTTTACAAATTTTCCAGAAAACTGGTGATTTGCCGTAAGAAATTTGGCAACGCCTGAATGTTTATACGGCGTTCTTCCTAAGCACGGCAGAGTTGCGATGGTCACAGAATCGTGTTTCGATGCTTGATTCTTGTAGATCAGCTAAAAATAATACCATCCAAACTCTCTACGTTCAATATTAGCCGAGATATCGTCTTTTAAAAAGCCGGATTTTGACGTCATCCACCGCGGTGGTGACACCCTTGGTTTCTTCCACCTCGCTTTTATCAGTCAGTGATGTACTGGTTACTCAGCGTGATACTTGGATGAAAGCAAGGTGAAAAAACCAAGGGTGTCACCACCGCGATGGATATGACATCAAAAACCTGTCTTTTCAAAGGGCGATATCTCTGTTAATATTGAACGTAGAAAGTTGCTGTTTGGACGGATCTTATTATTTTTAGCTGATCCACAAGAATTCAAGCATATAGCCACGATTTTGTGACCAATGCAACTGAACCATTTACCGGGAAAATTGTGAATATTGTCCCCCGAAATTTTCAGACGATTTTGCACGCAATTCAATGTAAATATCTGAAATTTTAAAGGAAAAATATGCATAAATGTCGTAAAAAATACATGCTTTATCAAGGGAAACTTGGCAACTCTCGAATTTTCGTGCAGCGTTCTTCCTTAGCACGGCAGAATTCAAGCCGAGCCGATTACAATCAAGAAATGCCTTGAAGGAGTGGATTCTAGATTTTTCCTGTGTGATTTATGTTGTTTCTGAGTCATTTAAACACTTGAATTCATATGTATATACGCCCGTGGCAAGGGTTCGTGACGACCCACACCTACGCAAAAAAGGAGGCACGATTGCAATGACAAATTTTTCGGGGGGGAGNGAGGTAAATGACATCTACGGCAAAGGGAGGAGAGGTCAAAGGTCGGGAAAAACGGGTTACGTGATTCATGGACGAACCCTCACTACTTTTCAGCGAAAAAAAGAAAAGTTGTGAAAAGAAGGAGATGAATTGGACGTATTTCTATCAAACGGAACTATGTGCATTATGACGTGAGCCCTGTAATGCGCATACGCTTATGGGTCTCAGGACTCATGTCTTAATGCACATAGTTCCGTTTGATAGAAATACGTCCAATTAATCCGGGAAATCAGAAGGTCAATGTTCAAAGTTCAATGAAGATATTTTCTTTTGTGAGCTTGTGCCGCTTTCACCTGGGAAACCCAAAAAGGTAGGGATATTTTGGAAATCGAAGCCACTCTTTTGTTTTCGAGAAGAACGAGAAAAAAGTTGGAGACCTCGAAGGCTCGGGACTTTCGGTACTTTGGTCAGTCGAAGTTGCGCAGCCGTAGGGGTTGAGCTTGAGGACCCCTAGGAGTATAATCAAATCGGAAGTATATTTTATCGGAAATATATTCATCTCGGGACCGCGCGTGATAGTCGTGTGCTTCAAGTGTATTACCATCAGTGTATTTTCGTGTTCGGTACTTTACTTTCGTGTTCGGTACTTTATTATTAAACTTTTTCTCGGTGAACTATTCCGTGAATATAGAAGGTGCAGTGAATAGTTGAGCAGCCTTACTTTCCGAAAGTTTTCTATCCGCCGAAAGTTTTCGTCAGCGAGCCTCTACTTTTTCTGTCCAGTGTAATAGTTTGCCGTGTTTTACAATAAGTGGAAGTAGTATTTGTCACTCGTGTCGGTTGTCATCGTGCGAATTTTCGGTAGTGTCTTTTCATCGATATTTCTGTGAAACTTGATTTGAGAATATAGTTTCGGAAGTCATTTTGCTCACGTATATTCCTCAGCGTTGATTCGGTAAGTCGCTTGATGTCATCAACAAATTTTTTTTTTTTCATTTTTTCTTTTTTTACGAGAGAAGTTTGGTACATTTAATATCGATGACTTAAGTGTGAAACCACGTATTTCCAGTAAAATTTATGCTACCATTTTATTTTTTCGAGGAAAATCAAGTCGACTGTTGGGCTTGATATCTTTACAAAATACTGGAAAAAAACCACATTGCATTTAGAGTCCAGACTCTTGAAAACATCGACAAGAAAAAATACTTTGATTCGATCGGATTTTTGCTTGAATCAAAACAAAATCCGCTGAAATTAAGAGGCTTGGTTCTTGATCTAAGCTAGATTTGATTGAATCAAGAGTACTTTTTCTTGTCGATGTTTTTAAGAGTCTCGACTGTAGATCCAATTTGTTTTCTTTCCAGAGAATATTTTGCTAATCGAGAGGAAAAATCGAGGTAGTTTTCAAGGAATAAGTTGACTAGTTTTACCAAGAAAAAATAAAGTGTAACAGGAGGTCCGGGACGTCACAGACGGAGATAGGTGGTTTCGCACTTCGGCCAACCATATTTAATTTGAGAATCCCTGTGGGCTATAATCTTTTTTTCACAATCAGTCGAGTTATCGAGGTTATTCTGCGTATTGAAATGTGTTGCAATTTTTTGCAGTTGCGAATTACGTAACTTCTTCATAAATCGATGGCCAAAGAGGGAAAACCATACATTTCTATTGTGGTGTTATAAAATTTCCACCTTTGTTTAATTTTTTCAGGAGAAACAAGCAAACTTCATGGCTTGAAATTAATACAAAGTATTCTGCAAGCAGAGAAGAAGGATCACGGAAGTTTTAAAGAATTTAGGTAGACCAGTTTCCCCGAGAAAAAATGAAGTATGACAGAAAATCTGTTGAATAGCAGACGGAAACGCGTGGTTCTACACTTAAGGTGATTCGATGGACGCCATATTTTGTGTCAGAACGGCATGCGATACATCGCATCAATTGGTTCCATTTTTTCAGCTACTCGTCATTTTTCTCCAATTTTGAGATCGCAATTCTGTTGTCAGGAGACTAAAATCACTCACTTACCATGTTAACAAAGAAATTCAACGCAATAAAGGCGTGGTTTTTTTAGAGAGAAAATATCACATTCGAGGGCAATTTCGATATCAGTATCGAATACGATGTTTTCTCTGAAAAAACCACATCTTTATTACGTTGAATTTCTTTGTTAAAATTGATAAGTGAGTGCTTTAGTCTCCTGACAACAGAATTGAGATCTCAAAATTGGAGAGGAATGACGAGAAGCTGAAAAAATGGAACCAATGGATTCGATATATCGCATGCCTTTCTGACACTAAATATGGCGTCCATCAAATCTCCTTAAGTCGTCGATATGAAAATGTTTAATCGTTGAAAATTGGTTATTATTGAATACATTATGTGAGAATATTATAATTTTGTGGTAAAAAAAGCAGTGTTATTCCATTATTTTTCAACATTATTTCAATTTATTTTTTAAGCTGTTCCATATACTAGACAATGTGCAACAATGCGTTATGTTGAATTTATCTCTAAAAGGGTTTAATTTCTTTCTTTGCAGGCAACATTCGAGAAGGGGATGAACGAGGATGGAAATCTTCACCCTCCGCATCAGAGCTGTTCCTGACCTTGCAGATCATCGCTTCTTCACGGTAAGATCTCTCAAGCTTGATCCTATTTCGAAAATTAAGGTGATTCGATGAACGCCATATTTTGTGACAGAACGGCATGCGATTTATAGCATCGATTAGTTCCATTTTTCCGGGCGACTCGTCATTTCTCTCGAATTCTGAGATCGCAATTCTATTGTCAGGAGACTAAATAATTCACTTACCAATTTTGATGAACAAATTCAAAGTATTAAAGGCGTGAGGAAAATAGAGGAAAAATGCTGCATTCGAATGGGATATTTTGTCTCATAAAAAAACCCACGACTTCATTACGATGAATTTGTTTGTCAAAATTGAATTTGTTTGTCAAAATTTGCTAGGTGAATTCTTTAGTCTCCTGACAACAGAATTCAGATCTCAAAATTCGAGAAAAATGACAAGTAAGTAGCTGAAAAAATGAAACCAATCGACGCGATATTTCGCATGTCGTTCTGGCACCAAATATGGCGTTCATCGAATCACCTCAACTTCTAATGAATCGGTTACTGTCAATAATTTCAATTTTTGAAATGGGCTGCTAAAATATTTGAGGGGCTTGGAGGACAAGGCGCATAAGTGTAGTTTTTGAAAAAGTTGAGATTTTAATGATTTCAAGTAAAACTAGTCTTAGTGCATATTTTGTGATAAATTCCCTCTCAAATTCAATTTTTAAGCTTTAAAAAGTCAGTTTTAACTTTCATTCCGCCATAAGGATCCATGTAATTTCAAAACTTCAAACACATATTTCTCGAAGTAGCAAAAACTGCACTTACGCGCTTTGTCCTACAAGCCTCTCATTCTTCCTCAACGCTGATCATCGCCGCTGTCATCATTCAGGCGATTTTAGGTAAAATCAACTTAAGGTGATTCGATGGACGCCATATTTTGAGTCGGAATGGCATCCGATATATCGCATCAGATTTTTTCAGCTACTCGTCATTTTACTCCAATTTTGAGATCGCAGTTCTGTTGTCAGGAGACTAAAGCACTTACTTACCAATTTTAACAATGAAATTCAACGTAACAAAGGCGTGGTTTTTTAAGAGAGAAAACATCGCATTCGATACTGATATCGAAAGTGCACTCGAATGCGATATTTTCTCTCTAAAAAAACCACGCCTTTATTACGTTGAATTTCATCGTTAAAATTGGTAAGCGCGTGCTCTAGTCTTCTGACAACAAAATTGAGATCTCAAAATTCGAGAAAAATGACGAGTAGCTGAAAAAATGAAACTAATCGACGCGATATTTCGCATGTCGTTCTGGCACAAAATATGGCGTTCATCGAATCACCTCAACTTCAAATGAATCGGTTACCGTCAATAATTTCAATTTTTGAAATGGGCTGCTAAAATATTTGAGGGGCTTGGAGGACAAGGCGCATAAGTGCAGTTTTGGAAAAAGTTCAGATTTTAATGATTTCAAGTAAAACTAGTCTTAGTGCATATTTTGTGAAAAATTCCCTCTCAAATTTCAATTTTTAAGCTTCAAAAAGTCAGTTTTAACTTTCTTTCCGCCATAAGGATCCATGTAATTTCAAAACTTCAAACACATATTTCTCGAGGTAGTAAAAACTGCACTTATGCGCTTTGTCCTACAAGCCCCTCATTCTTCCTCAACGCAGATCATCGCCGCTGTCATCATTCGGGCGATTTTAGGTAGAATCAACTTAACTATATTTTGTCGCTCCTCTGACGTAAGGGCGTAACTTGATTTCTACGTGACCCCTGTGCTCCGTATAACTCTATGCTTTCTAAGGCTCATGCAAAAAGCTAGATACGCCCTTACGTCAGAGGAGCGACGATTTGAGGGTGCTTAGTTTTTCCTGATCTGTTTCTGTAATACTGCAGAACTACGGAACATAATGCCTTGAAACTGTCTTATTTTTCCAAGATTCTGCAGAATAAACTATTCACTGAATTCGCTACGACAGGATTCAGCTTGATTTTTTGTCATTTCCCGGACGAAGAAACGTAACTCCATTCCAAGGTTGTCAAATTGATTCAAAGAATTCAATTTTTCACAAACACGAGAAAGCGAAATCTTTATCCAAAATTTATTTTCGTTTTTCATGAGATCAGCGGAAAAATCAGTGAAATGTACAATTAATACTTAACATTTTCCTTTACAAATTCAAATTTACGAGGCGAAATCTGGCAACAATGAAATTGACCACATTTTGCAAAAAGGAACCACTATGTCTGGCTCATTTTAGAAACAACGTATATGCCATTGGTTTCCCTGTGCAGAACAGTGGTTTTATGGAAGAGTCAGAAATAGTGGTTCCTTATTGCAAAATGTAATCCAAATGTAGTTATGTTCTTTCGTGGGAGGTAACGACAAATTGGACTGCATTTTGCAATTTGGAACTATAAATTCTGGCTCATCTGAAAAAAAAAACACTTATGTGCATAGGGATACTAATGGCACATGCGTTTTTTTTAAACCGGGCCAGAATTTATAGTTCCTAATTGCAAAATGCAGTCTAATTGAGGGAGGAAAATAGATTAAAAAGCCTTCCAATGAGTGGCCCCGTTTCGTCGCTCCTTTGACGAAAGGGCGAATCTCAATTTCCTCGTGAGCCCTGGGTCACATTCAAATCCATGCTTTCTGCGGTTCATGTGAAAAGTGAGATACGTCCTTATGTCAGAGGAGCGACCTTTTTTGATACCCGGGGATTTCATTCGTACGTGACCGAAATGAAACCTTATGATGAGACAAGCCTCCGGTAAAAATTTTAGCTTGAGGATACGTTTGGTGTTGGACAGTGGCGTGACGTGAATTGCGATGTATCGATTCTCATGCCATTTAAAGCTATGGTAAAGAATCGATTATTAAGGTGTTCGCTGCGAACACCCTGTCTATCGATCCTTTTTCATAGGTTAAATGGCATGACAATCGATATATCGCAATTCACGCCACGCCATTGGTTTTGGAGCTACAGCGTTGTAAAGTTTGCATGTTTGAGTCTTAAAAATCTTCATATTTTTGAAGAATTTCTTCCGAAAGCCAATTTTAAAGTAATGTGAGTAACAAGTAATGTAAGTTTCAAGTAAACATGACGCGTAACTGAAAAATTATGAGAAAATCCGTAGTAAAAGTTTCAAATTGTGGATGAGCCGTCAATAGCAGTACAACGTTGCAAAAATTACATTCTTGCCTTTTAAAAATACCCATTTTTTATAGTTGTATATTGTAGCAGTATTTGAGACATAAAATATACAATTAGAGATACTCGCAGACTCATAGTAAAATTTATATCAGTATACGATAATTTTAGGCAATGCAGCGTTGCAAAGTTTAGACGTATAGCATAGATTTAATCAGTATACGATAATTTTGGGCAATACAGCGTTGCAAAGTTTACATCTTTCATCTATGAAAATGTCTACTTTTTCTTGTTATAGTATTGGAGACAAGATACAATATGTGTCAATGGTTAATAGTGTGAGGCAAAATGTGGAGGATTTATGTTGATCCTGGGTGACAATTGCTTTAAAATAGCATCGTTGCAAATTTTATCTGTTTTTCTTTTAAAATTAGATTGTTTAAAATTAGTTCAAAATAAGGATACTTCCAATAGTTATTTTACTTTAAAATGTAATTCCAGAGGATTTTTGGAATACAATGGATGATTCAGCATCAGCGTTGCTTTCAAGATCTGAAATATTCTGCCTAGACTTAGTTGCAAATTCAACCTTTTAAGGTGTAATGAAGAAACTAACATAGAATATGGAGGCGTTTGGGTTTTTTTAAGTAGAAATAAATCTTAATATGGACGATACATTCATTATGCCTTAAAAAACTGAGTATGTTGAATGTAAGAATGGAAAATTTTGAAAATATTAAAGAATTAAAAAAAAAAAAAAAAAAAAAAAAAAAAANAAAACGATAAAATATAATTTAAAACCTAAATAGAATATTTAAATCACTGTTGCGTTAGTGTATAAAAAACCCAGACGCCTCCTTAAGAGAGAATTTTAAAATTATTTAAATATGACTTTTGGAGGGTGAAAGTTTGAAATTGGCATCATGTTGAGGCGTTTCCTATAGATTTGAAGGCAAGGCAAGACAGGACTGATACTGAAGCATCACATGAATAAAATATTTTGAAGGAAGAAGATAAAAAAACTATAAAAAGTACAAAAATAAAAAAATGAAAAAAATGTACAGTAAAAAGTCATATAAAAATGAAAGAAAAAAATGTCAATGTAAATAAAAAATAAGCAAAATCAAATAACTATTGGAAGCATCTTTATTTTAAAATCGTCTATTATTTATTGCTTGGAGAGAATTATGAATAAACTTGGCGAAAGTATTATTGCAAAAACCAATTGTCAATTGGAACAGACATCAGACCTTGATATTTTGGCTTGATATGAGGGATGATACCCATTGATTTTATCTTAAACTGGAAAAAGAAAATAAAAAAAAATGCATATTTCGTTGAAGTCAAAATTTTAAGCTTGGCAACGCTGTATCACTACAAATCAATCTTACATCTGCAGATAACGTAAATGGTTTATTTCATTTAAAAAAAAAAAAAAAAAAAAAAAAANAAAAAAAAAAAAAAAAAAAAAAAAAAAAAAAAAAAAAAAAAAACACTGAATTTAAAAATAAAAACATTTTTAAAGCTTATATACGTAAACTTTGCAACGCTGTATCGTTAAATCTATACTTACACTCGGGGTAAAACTTTTACAAAAGACTAATCTTATCATAGAATTTCAGCTAAACCACATTATCATACCTTTAGGTGGTCAATAAGTTCGTTTTTAAATTAAAAAACCGAACAAAATGAGAATTTTTATAGGTCTGTGATGTCAAGTTTGCAATGTTGTATCAACAGAATTAACAGCATTAACGTAGAAAATTATTTATTATTAACGTATTTTTTTAGAAAAATGTACACTGACTGTTGATAAAATGTCTTAAAATATCATGAAACATCCAATGACAGTTGTTTACAGAAAGTAAGATACTTGATAATACGATAATCTTTA